ATATATATATATATATATTTTCAAGTGGCATAGCGCTGAACTGCACTGGATTGCAAGAGCCTTTCTTTTAAGTCACATCTTCTTCTGTTTCCCTCTCTGCAGGGAGATCAGAAGGTAGGTTTCATTTTAGCATTAGTTGGTTTGATCCTGCATTGTGAAGCAGGTCAGCAATTGGCTTTGATTTTATCCCAATGATCCCACATGCTGGAACCAAACCAAAGTGGAGCATTCTTCATGCACCAAAACAAAACCCAGCAGGAGTCCCTGACAATGACTCAAAAGGGGGCAGGTTTCACGTTTCCCCTCACATCGTGGTCTCTAGAAAAAGGAGGAAATCAGCCCATCCTCAAACCAGCCCAAACCACATGACAAAGCGCTGTCTGACTGCAGCCTAAGTCGACTGGGTACGCTGTTGCTCAAAAGAATTTCTTCCACATAAAACTAGTACACTGGGGGAAAATCTATAGAACTCTACTCTCCAGCATTCAGTTATTTAATTTTTTATTATTTATTTTATTGTATTTTTATTTTATGTTTGTTTATTTGTTTGTTTATTTATTTATTTATTTCAGAATTTATGTCTAAAGGGGAGCACTTACTCATACATGAGTCCCTAGCTGAAGATGCCAGTGGTACAGCCTGGACACAGATTTGCAAACTCTCCCAGAGATTAACCTTAACTAGAAGAAGAAATACGGGAATCTGGGATCTCACAAAATATTAGAAGAAAATCCCTGTTTCCTATAGTATCACTCAGTGCTTTTCACTTGTCTTTTTCGTATATCACAACTTTCACACAAACTCCAATAATAAACTTCAGACAAAGGGAACACAGTAGGAACCCCTTATCCACAGAATTAGTATCCACTGATTTACTTATCCACGGTCTGAAAATATTAAAAGAAAAGTCCTAGAAAAAAATATATCTGAAGATGAAGTTACCAAAACTGGCCGCTAGAGGAAGCCGGAGATCATGCTATGTATAGTGCTCACTATTAAAATAGCGTTGGGTATAATCCACTTTTTTCAACATCCACAGGGGGCTTGGAAACCGATCTCCCACAGATACAGGGTGTGTGTGACTTACTGTGTTTCATTAGACAAACTGAAAATATGTTAAGACACATAATGGGCAATGAACAGAAAAGGAAGCTGTGCTATATAGTATATATTTTACTGTCCTGCCACTGACTCTAAGGGTGCTGATTATGATGGCAAATTATTCTAAAGTCCTTATATGCATAAATGGGAGACCCTGTGCAGCTGTGCCCAAATTTAAAGATACGAGTCCCTTAGAAGATAAAGAACATGACCCTTCCTTTCAAGCGAAGAGTTTTTTTCATGCAAAGCTTGTATTATTCATCTTTAGGATGAGTACCGTATGACAGAAAAGTAATCATTCTGTCCAAGAAATATTTGAGAACACTGGTAAGCAAAGCCATTCTTCTTGGCCGCAAATGCTACGTTATCATGCTCACTTTGGACAAATGTCTCTAAATTTGTGTGTGGAATAAGCCTTCCAGAACTCAAGTCAACAGGGTGACAGCATTTAGGCAGAGATAGACATCTTGCTGCCATGGCTGTTGTCTGACTCGCAAAGCTGCCCTGAAATCCAGCCAAGCAAGGATAAATAACCAGAATTGTTTAGCAAAGTTAGGGGTGTTTCCACGTGAGGTATTAAAGCAGGAGGAGTGAGGAGATTATTTGTTTTATTTTGTTTTATTTATTATTAGACTTATTACCCCGCCCCTCTAGACAACGTGTACTTGGGGCAGCTAGCTTCAGAAAATGGAGTTCTGTTGGTTAAGAAGAACAAAATAGCAATTGAACAGTAGGCTGCCAAGAAGTGAAAACAAGAATG